AACAACACGCCTTCCACAACACTCTTTCCTTGTCACGAACGGGACAGTACATCAGAATCTCCTTGATCAACGAGCGACAGTTCCTGATACGCACCCACACAACCCCAAACGAACTAGAGAACTAATTCTAAAACAAATGAGTAAACTGACAGTCCCATAAGAGATGGTTTAGATCCTCTTCATGACATATGCAAAGAACAAACTATTGTAGCCAAAGTAAAAAGATTTATGCCGCTGGATATGATCTTATGTGTTCACTCTCCCATGCAAGATTCTCCAATAGAAGAATTTACTTCCTAAGGAATTTTAATCTTCTATATAAAGAAGATAAAACTAAGAGACTCAGAATGGAAGAAAGAGGAACAAAGAAAATGGAAGTACAAGTGGCAGGAGAACCCCTAATAACAGAAGAGGGTTCCAGACTCTCACCTCCATCAGTATCTCCTATTGTGTTCTTAAAATAGTTACAATCATAAATTATTAACTGCACCTACCACCAAAAAAGTAAGAATAATTTACAATTGTGTTAAAAGTTAGAACTAATGTTTTTGTCCCTCAAATAATACGCATTCCTTATTTTGGTCCCTAAAATTCTCAACCCATAACATACTATCTCAACTCGCTGAAATAGAAGGAGAGACCAGAGACTTACATCGAAAAGTATGGGGTTTTCCCCCTCTTTTGGTTTGTTCTTCAAGTCGTGATCTTAATCCAAAAGAGATGCTACAGTCTATCAAGACGCAACATTTAGTATTATGTATGACAAGACATCTAAGAGTAGGAGGTTTCTCAAACCATTTTTTCAATTTAATTCAATCAAACTTATTACATTATTAAAAGCTGATAATCTCAACCTATGTAAAGATTCCAAATTAACAGTTTATGATAGGTAATTCATCTCTTGATGACATTTGCTTCAGTGATAATTTTCTCCATTACACAATCAATCCAGTTTCCATTCAACTCTTACCATACAAATCATCGAACACTACAAAATCAAAAATCATATGCTTATCATACAAATTACCTCAGAAAATGAAGCAGAAAGTCCTAAAACTTCATTGCTCTTCCTTAAAATTTCAATTCATTCAATCATTCTATTGATATTGCTCCATAAAGTAAGAAGAAAAAAAATAAACAGGTTTTTCTCGTCTCAAGCCACCCCATAACTACATAATGCTATTTTCACATGTTTATTGCTTCTGTACAGAGCCATAGTACAAATGCAAAGTAATAGATAGGGAACACCTTCCCTACCCACCGAAAGAAAGAATAAATGATAACAACAAAATTCCATTTGACAAGAATGTAATCTCACATACTGAAAAGGGACCTAACCATGGTGCACAGTTATCTATGCAGCAAGAGATTCTATAGCATCCTTTCGTTGCTCTAAAAGTCCTGCTAGCAATCTATCTATTTGATAAAATACATCTGTCTTTGGTGCATTTCCATTCACCTGAGGAGGAGAAAATAGTTCATCAGTAGTATTTTTCTTATGAGAAACAACATTTACACAAGGATCCAAAAAAAAAAAAAAAAAAACAAGCCCACGAGTAGGGAGAATAATGAACAAACCCACAAAAAGGGAGACCACTGAAGGACCTCGAGTATTGTAAGTATTATATCGATTAACTGATGCAGAATGATCGAGTCAATTGATACTTACTATACAAGTCAGTAATGTTTTTTTTTTTTTTTTCTATAAGAGGCAATTTGATTGATGTTTGAACTTTACAACAGCCATTTACCCCAGACTTCCTCCAAATCTCTCTCTCTCCTGAATGGTGGATGATGGGGGCTAGATTACATACCTTCACTGTTACATCTTGATACATGGAAAGAACATCCTCCACATTCTGGTGATGAGTTTTCAATCTCAGCCTCACCTGAATAAATTCAATTGCAGGGAACACAGTCAATACTTCACCCACGTAATTGTTCGGAAACAGGAAAAAATAGAATATGGAGATTAAAAGGCTTGCCCGTGAGTGATCTAAACAAAACCTTATGAAATATATACACCACCATAGAGAATAATTTGAAATGATAGACCAAGTTAAATAAAGTATTGAAGAAAATACCTTTTCTTCAGTGTCATCAAAGCGCTGTGTAAGTCTGGCAGCAATTTCTTTAGTGTCAGGTGGAGAATACTTCAAATGATATATCTTACCAGTAACGGGATCCAGTCTTCTTCCAGCAACTCTCTCAACAAGAATTTCTTCTGGGACCTTCAATAACACGAGAAAGTTATTGTAAGTTCTGGACTTGAAGCTCTGATAACATGTTGCTTAAGACTAGACAATAACAAAAGCTATAATCGCCTTAGCATACAATTCACAGAAGGTAGCGGCATTTTCCTAAAAGTTATGCTGGTCCACTAGACATCACTAAAAATTCAAAATACCAAAAATCAAGATCATATCTGCACATGCAATCCAATCAATCTGTCGACATTGAATTCATATTTTTCTCCTGATAGAAACCCAACCATAAACAAAGAACAATCAGTACACATCACTCCTCAGTGTTGGCAATTCAATGTAAAAGTGCAAAATTTGAAATTTCAATCAGCATCAATAAACAACCCTTACTTCAAGAAGAATGAAAAGATCAGGCTCAAAGCCAAGTTCCTTAAGAGCAACTGCTTGAGAATGACTCCTGGGATAACCATCCAAGAGCCAACCATTTTCCTGAGAATCAGGTTGCGACAGCCGCTCTTTTACCATCTACAAGATACTGACAGAAATGTTACAGATGAAAATTACCAAATGCCAAAACAATATTATAGATTTTCCTACCAGCACAACTATTTCATTAGGGACTAACTGTCCTTTCTCCATATACTCTTTTGCTAGCTTCCCATTTTTGCTGCCACTATTGACTTCTGCCCTAAGTAAATCTCCAGCAGCGATATGCACCAAACCATACTGCACATAGGAGAATGACTTGATTCAATCTGCTATTCTCCACGGGCAATAAAGAAATGATAAATTTATGGGAGCACAAGCAAAGATTGTAGGTTATTAAGAAAATGGCAATAACAAAAAATAAAGTGTTAGTGAAGAGAAAACAGATAGGTTCGGTCAAAACATATAAGATTTCAGAGGATATATAGGCATCAAGAAAAATGGAAATAATACAACTCCAATGATTTGGGAACTAATCAATTTCAACACACATTGAATTACACTTCATACTCTTTTTTCCGCAAATAATAAAGCAAACGAGTACATTCCAAATCAGTAAGAGCCAAGAGAAAAGAAATGCTTGGCGGAGGCAATTGCTTACTTTCTGTGTAATAAGTTCGCATTGTGTGCCTTTACCGGAAGCGGGAGCACCAGATATCATGACTCTGAGAGGCTCTGGTGTTGCCTGAGACGTAACCTGCCAACATATACAAACAAGTTCAATCGAAAAAATTAACAAACCACACAATTAACCAAAACGTTGTTGGGATCAAATGGAGTGAGTTCCCGACGATCAGACTAGAACATTGTACATACTGCAACTAAAACGTGTTTAGTTGTAAATTAAGTTCTAGAAATTAGCAAGCAACTCCAGTTTACATTCTATTTGTCCCGGAGTTCACCAAAATAAGTAAATGAATAAATACGCATCCTGCTTTCATTCAATTCGACTAAATTACACCACTAACACTGATAACATTCACTGCATGCGAGATCAATCGCCAAGCCAACTCGTATTAAAAAAGAATAAAAAACATTGGATCATACAGTTAATGCACGAGAAAACGTAGCCTTCAGTGAGGGAGAAACATCATAACACGGGAAACGTAAGGTTCGACAGTGACGAGTATACAAGATTGAACTGTTCGAAACGTGAGGGAGATGAACTGATTGCCGTTGCCTAGAAGAAGAAACTGGATTCGCGTATCCAACAGCGGTGAAACTGGAATGGAGCGCCATGGTAGAGCTTCCTCCGCCGCTATTCGTCGGAAACTTCGGCACTCAGAGCAGCAGCAGCAGCAGCTTCACTCTCTCTCTCTCTATCTCTCCCCAGTCCACACCGCCGCGCCCTGGATCTCGATTTTATTATATCATCGAAGCGAAACGACCGCCACTTGCCCTTCACTCATTTTCGTCCACAACCTCAAAGCAAATTCGCCATCCAAATTTTGGATGTTTAATTCATTCCTTCACCAAATGTACGATATTTTACATTAAAAAATTATAATTAATTACGATATTTTAAAATTGAAGATTTAATATTTTGTTATACATAAAAATTTAATTTTATGACTATAATATAAATTTATTGACCCATTAAATATTATTTAAACCTCAAGGACGATACAAATTTAAAAGTTTATATATTAAATTTGTGTCTACAACTATATATGTTCGAAACTCTGAATAAGATTTTTTTCCCTTTCGCATGACAACGTCTTCTTGCTACGAGGACGTTGCATGAAGTAAGACTGCTCCTCCGCATGATCGAGTACCCGTAGACCCACTTGATCAAGTACCCGTAGCTTTGTCAACAGACCCACTTGAAATAGGAGTATCGTCCCTTAGTTCTTAACAACCTCAGGAGCATGTATGCACGATAGTGGATTCTTTTGTTGTTTAAGATCCCCTTTTAATAGTCGTAGTATTCGTATTTAATTGAAAGGGTATTTTTGTAATAAAAAATTAAAAACTCGTATAATTTCATTCGATTAATTCAAACCTTTGATCGACTTTAAAATATCATATTATAGACGGTAAATAAAATTGAGTGTAAATACGTAGTTTTGAGTTAAATTCACCGACCAATTTAGCATCTCAGTTGACCTGAAAAAGAAAAAACTGAATAATAATTTACTAAATTAATTTCTAATTTTTTAATATATATTGAAAATTCAATTTTTTTATATTTACCATAAATTCGTAATTTTTTTTAATATAAAAAAATTATTTGTTTAATTTTAAAATTTAGATAATAATAATAATAATAATAATAATAATAATGGAATATTCGAATATCATTGGCGGCGAGGTTCGAGATACGCGGGAACAGATTCTTCGGTTTGGTGGGGAATTAAAAGGAGAAGCCATCGCAGCCTCTGTCTTTCTCAACAATTCATATTCCGGTAACTGATTTCTTTGCTCAGAGATGGCTAGGGCACCGACGACCGCTGCCGGAGCGTTAACGGCCTCCTCCCCTTCACTCACCACCACCGTCATCTTGGCCAACGGATCCTCTTCCTCTCAGCCACCCGAAACCCTAGTGCTCCGTCTCAATCGGAAGAAGAAGAAGGTCTCGTGGAAGGAAGGGACCGTCGACAACGAGTTCATGCAGAAGAAAAGCTCGAAGAAGTGCTGTATATTCCACAAGCAGAAGCCCTTTGACGAGGACGATAGCGATCAAGAGGATGATGAGAATCACCATCACAGGGATGGAGGCCCTTGCTGCTCTAGGGGAAACGGCGGGGATGCTTCCAGTAGAGTCAGTTGATAGTGCGGATTCTGATGTAAAGATGATGTTTCGAAAGGTTATTGAATTTGAGTGTGTGCGTGTTTCTTTCTTTCTTTCTTCTTTTTCTTCTTATTGAATCGGATTGGTTGTCAGATTATCTCATTACACTCAATTTTTTCGTCGAAGTCACCGATATCAGAATCTGCTCGACGAACGATACGTTATTTAATTCGAATCATCGTAGGTGGATGTATATTGGTCACCAGTTTACCAAATGAAAGTTTGCATTTCGTTTCTCGATTTCGATCGCCTGGATAATCGTATACGTTCTTGATTATTTTTGTTGTTGTCATGAATTGGTTTTTCCTGCAGTTTATTTGGCCAGTAGCGGCTATAATTACACGGGAATTTCGTATTGATAATCGATCCCTTTGTCTGCTATCATTCTGATTCGGGTAGATTGGATTTTCGATTGGATATTGATAGATATGATTCTCTCACCATATTTCCATTGTCAATTGCCAGCTTTTTCAATGCCTAATAGTGAGCTTGAGATCTAAAAGTAAAACCCATTTGATATAGAATGTGTGTTGAGTGGTTTTAGTTTGTGCAGTTGTTTAATATCTGTTTGAATTGCATAATCTCTGTTAACTGTTGTTTGCTCTATATGACAGGACACTCTTCCGTTTGTTTCTCTATTGATCAAGGATTTTTCTTTTTGCTATCTGATAATTTCCAGCCCAATTAATCACTTTCTTGATCAGATTAGCTTGTACCTTTAAGGCTGTAACTACCCCACTGATTGTTTTATTTGAAAGTCCTCTTCTGTAGATGATAGTTTTCAAAGACCACGAATTCCCATAGCAATTGGGATTATGGATTGGGATCTGTTGTAGGCGAGAAAATCACCCGTCTGATCGAGTAGTTTTTGACCATATCCATACGAACTCTTCCTTATTCCTTCCTTCGACCTGAAGTGAACCGAAGTTTCTTGAGTTCATGCAGAATGAATATGTTTTTGGGGTTGAATTGAATGAAGTTTCTTGGTTTGTTTTGTAATCTCCATTCAACTTGGAAACTTAGAAAGGTAGGGAGCAGGATAGACCAGATCTCATTTCAAGTAGAACTAGAACAAAGGAAATGATATTGGACATGAACAAACTAGTAAAAAACCGACTTCTCACTTCCTAATTGAACTTCCCGATGCTTGAAAAAATTTGTTTTCTGAGTTATTTTCTTATACGGAATGATCCGAGTACAAGGAGATGAACCCAAATGAAATCAACAGAGATTATAGTCTCAGTCTTCAATGTATCCTTATAGTCACCACATCAGTGCAAGTGCTAACCAAATCATTAATTGCTTTGTTCTTTGCTGCATTCTCCTCCAGATTGAATTTATGCTCAATTGGAAGGTACGTGATAATATTTCCCTTTACACATGCACCTGTAGACAGTGGGACAGGACTCTGCAGCAGAGCATTTGAAGCTCACCATCACCCTTTTGCACGGAAAACATGGTCCACATGCATGGGAACAGTCTGGGAGGCTGGATCCTGTCGGGTATAACTCCATACCTAGTGCTTCAGTTTTTTCCTGCACAGGCATACATGACAAGGAAACTGAATTAAAGTTCTTTCCTGTTAGCATGTTGTCATGGTTCGTCTTGTTCGTTGAGCCTCTATTATTCATGTTTTTCCTATTCTTGTCTCAGATATATTTATTTTCTCACAAAATGTTCGATACGAAGTGGCGAGGAGACGAAGAAAACACAGTACCTCGTGGTGCGTTGAGCTGCCTACTGGTCTGTGAGTATCTTCTGCATTAAAGCTCACTGAAATATCATACACTTAAAAGGCTTAGGGATATGAGTGCATTTTCCTAGCAACTAGAATAGCAAAATAAGTTGACAAAAACCACATAGATGATGATTTTTCTTACTGTGATCCCAGTGAGTCGATGCATCAAGACGTCTTCCAATCATTAGTATGATGAAGAAAATCCAGAAAAGTAGAGAAGTTTGAGCCACAAGTGGGAATTTCTTCATTGCTGTTTGATAATGCAAAAGCCAAAAGGATATAAGAAGTGGTAGAGATGCTAAAGGAGGAGAAATAGACTGCAAAGTTTGTTGGAAATGTTGGTGACAGATGGTTTAGTATGCAGTGGGCATTTTATGGTGTAAAAATGGAACAAAGGTTAGTTTTTAATGTAGGAAGAGGTACATCTGATTCACCTCACATGATCCACGGCCCATTTTGAAGGTTCACATGTTTTGGCAAGTAAACTCAACACCTTCTGAAACTTTAAATGAACTGTGGCATTTGATCTTATACGTACGAAGGTACATATTTTTTACTCTTATAGATCAAATTTTCAATTGCTGAATCTTTGGGTCTGGCATTTTGAAAATTTAAGAGCATTGTCCCTTGTCATGAGTGGATTTATCTTCCCGACGTTGTGTTGCCTTTTGCTTGTATGCCATATAACATCGCTTTCAAACTCCCTTTTAAAATCTCTTTGTCTTTGTTTTCTAAAACCTTCTTTTCAAATCGGGGTCAAAGGCTTGAGCAATACGTTGTCCGGCCATAGGTGACGTGAACACAAATTGGCTTGACTCACTTACTGCCGAGAAGAGAAGAAAAGTGCGATTGTGACAAGTGGATACATTTTTATCTTCATGTGTTGTGTTGCAATGGTAGGTAAATACATTTATAGTCAATGTGGTTTCAGGTGTTGATAAATGTTGCATCCCATAGAGGTGGAGGAAGGTTGAAAATCATTTTCAAGTCTAGCGGTCGTTTTCCAGTTGGATATTATTGCCAACAACGTAAGATTGGGAAATTCTGTACATGTAATTGAAGCTGCTTGAATTGTCTATGCTCTTTTCCAGATAAATGGAATGAAATGAATTTAGTGCATTTTCTGTTTGGTGGGTTTATTTGTAAAAACAATATTCTGATTATGTTTGGATTTTTAGTGTTCTTTATGATTTTTAATTTGCTACCGAACTATAAACCAATTCTTCGTTTTCATCCTCCTGTTTTTGCAGATTTTTCTGGAGTTCAAAGGTCTGGACTCTTGGGCTGCTTTTGGTCCCATATCTTTTGGGTTACGTTGATTACATTTCTTTATGTTATTTGTACCCGTAACGGGTTTATAGATGAGTGCTGTTGGAGTAGTTGGTTTGGTTATGAACCTACGTGCCGGAATCACTTTGAACTTAGAAAAATGGTTGGGACAACAAACATCCAGCTCGAGAAGGGAAATCGACTGACAGAGGACATTTCTGTTTGTGGATTCCCAACCAAAGGCAGCATTGCACTCTAAGTGATTCTGTAAGTAACAATCAGTGTGTATATGATATGATTATGAACGCTTTGTTAAGTTTCTTTCACCCCTGACCTTTTCAGCTCTCTTTTGTTGTCTTTTGAGGGAGGGGTGAAGGGAGGATTATAGTCCAAAGTGAATGGGAAATGGGGAAATTATTTGGGTAAAATGGTTCGTTCTCTCTCTTGTTGTCTGTCTAAAGAACAAAAGTGCAGTAGGGTTTTAGTTGCTACACGACAGGAGAAGTTCACGTGTAGTGTAGTGCAGTGGGGGAGCAGAAATTGAAGAACACTCCTCCCTTTGCTGCTGCCATTCAATGAACTTCTGCTATCAGTTTTACGACGAACACGACTCTCCCCAATGATATAATATTGTCCACTTTGAGTATAAATTCTTATGGCTTTGTTTTAGGCTTCTCAGAAGGCCTCATATCAATGGTGAGAGTATTATTTGATTATAAACCTATGATCATTCCCTAAATTAGCCGATGTGTGACTTTCATTATCCAACATCTCTCATCGAACAAAGTACGCCTCCTCTTAATCGAGGCTCGACTCTTTTGGAGTGTTAGTCATTTTTTACTATGCCTTCGAGCTGGTTTGACTCCTTTTCTTTTGGAGTCTTTTGTTCGACATTCGAGGAAATTCAATCTATTGACATGACTAAGTTTAGGGCATAGTTCTGATACCATGTTAGACAAATACAACTATCCACAATGGTATGATATTGTCGACATATTACATGACCGCATATGAAAGAAAGCTCGAGTAGGAGCAGATCATCCAGCCTTGAAAGAATAGTTTAACCCTTGTCTACAGGAGAAGGAAGTGAAGGATAGAAAACCAAAGCTAAGGAAAGGAACGGAAGCCAGCTTGTAAGGAATTTAGCTCTTGCATTACCTTATGATGCTCTCATGACTTTCATTATCCAATAATATAATTTAGAGAAAATAAATAAATAAATTATACCCCTTATTTATTTAATTATATCCATTAAAAAACTTGACAAATAATTGTATTAATTAAAGCTCAAAACTTTCGTAAGAACTTTGGAATATAAATTAACGTTTTTTTTTAAATTTATTTATCTACGGATAAATGAAGTTGTAGGTTTAAATGAAAAAGTTCAAACGCAAGATATTAATTTAAGTTTTTTTGAGAATTTTATCTATTTCTGAACATTTAAAACGACAAAAAAGTACCCAAACTTCCAATTTTTTTAAAAATTCAAAGATTTACTAAAATACAAAATACAAAATACGTATTAGACAAAGTTGAAAGTTGAAAATACGAACTTCAAAGTGAATTAAAAATAATAATAATAATAATAATAACAATAATAAAATAAAAACAAGAAAAATTCATCCCCTCATCATTTAAATCCAATTAACTCCTTGTTTGTTGGCTGGTTCACAATAAACAAGCACCCCCAACCAGATGCATGAATATGCCAACTTGAACCCCTTAAAGCTCAAATCCCTCATTCATCCCCCATACCCATCTTAGTAATATTGTTAAAAATTATTTAAAAAAAAAAAAATCAAATGCATGAATGTCACAATAAAGCAAATTCAAGAAAAATATCCAATATAGTATAAACATTCAAAAGCAACAAGTACGTTTTAAGTTCCCAGAAATACACTAATAATAATTGAGAGCTTATGATTCCTCTACTACTGAACTCGCCTTCTTTACTTTACTACTACTACGACTACTACACTCGGTAGCATTATATTATTATATCATCCTACATTATGTAAAAGCGTCTTAATAATGTATGTAGCTGCAGAATAGAACCATCCAAACACACAAAGCATATGTTATGTGTATATTATATATGTGTGTGTGTGTGTATATATTAAACAACTAGCATATAGATAGGAAAAAGTTTCACCTTCTTTAGGGCATGGCATGAAGATGGCCTTTTCCTTCTCCCTCTGAAAATATATTTACTTCCGATCATTGGTGCGATCAATGCGAGTTGTCGTACACGACTTTGGCGTCAAAGGTACCACAAGGGTGTGTCTTGCTTGGGCAATGGTGTGTCTGCTGCTGCATAATCAATTGATGCAAGGTTAAAAGGAGAACCAAATCTTAAGTCTGGGATGTTATCGTTGGGATACATGCTGAACGGAGAATCAAATGCTGCCGCCTTGTATTCTTCGAATGGAAGTTTTGTGGAAGAAATGTCGGGGTGCTGTATTGGCATGTTATTTCCCACGATCGCTGCTTGGCCATACATGTTAATGTCGACTTGGGGTTGGAATTTTGGCAGCTGTTGGTTGGGATTGTGGTCACCTCTAGCATCGACATTACCGGGATTCAATGTGTTCTTGTCCTGTTGAAGGTTAGAATCATAGCAACTCAGAAGGTCCGAAATCATTTTCTGGTCGTCTTCTGGAAGTCCGAGTCCTGATACCCTGAAGGGTGGAGTCGGGTTCATTGACCGAATAGGCAGTGGCTTAGAATGGTTTAACGATGGAGGAACTGGGGATGATGATTTGTCACCATTAGTTTGAAAGCTTGGCATGCTAAATATATGTGAAGAATCATGCCTAAATGGGCAATTCAACTGGTGGTTGTTTCTTGAAGTCCTGTCGAAAAACCCGAGGCGCTGACTGTTATATGGGCATTGAGAATACTCGCAAGTATATAGCTTCTGATTCATTATTGTAATCGACTCATCTGTCAGCTGCTTCCTCTTTCGACTAAGGTCCGAATTGTTCTCCATGAATTCTTCCTTAATCTGAGTTCCCACAGGGGGCATCACAAGCCTCTCTCTAGGTCCAGGGGCACCCATGTTAAAGAAATTGAGATCGTGGGGTTTGCTTTCCCCTGCTTGGACATTTGGTTCATCTTCTACTCCTTCAACATCGTAATCACTAGAATCACTGATCAAAAGAGATCCGCTCCCACATATCGGCACAGGCGGGCATTTATCAGGATACAATTTCCTAGCCAAAGCTTCTTCCTGGTTCACAATTGCCAACCATGTGGCACTCTCCTTTGCAGTCATCTTGTCTTGCAAACATTTAGACTGACGAACGAGCTTGCGAATCTTCGCAATATCAGGTGACATATGCTTAATCACAGCAGTAAGAACGCTGACTTTCCAAGCCTTCTTCAGATCATGGGGCTTCTTATAAGGGGGTGGCCCCTGATCGTTAGGTAGTCCCAATTCAGGCCACCATTCCTCGTTTCCGGTGGGCCACCACGGTGGGGAAACTCCCTTCTCCAATGGAAAACGCCTTTGGGGTGGATCGCAGTGCTGCATCAGAGCTGACAAAAGTGATCCAAGGGTTGTGTCTTGGAGCTCTTGTAAAGTATGAGGAGTGGATGTCACTGTATTGCAGTCATCATTGTTCCCAGGAATTGCATGTTCAGCCTGATATTTGGCAATAGCTGCAGGACCGTTTCGATCGAATCTGACTTTCTCTTTCCACCAGGCACGAAGATTATCGGACGCTCCGCTTACTGGTTTTCCTTTCTCAGGAATGATCCCATACACAAATCCTTGAGCCTTACAGACCTCCATCATTTTCAACATATATTTCAGGATGCAATCTTGAGCCCGAGACATCTTCTTCCTTCGGGCTTGCTCCTGGGATTGACGCTGCTTTGAATTGTCAGCGCTTTCCTTCTCTTTGCTTTGTTCCTTGAGTCGCCTCAAAAGCATTCGGTCTCGCCACATCCTTCTCTCAAGCTCATCAACATCCAGCTCTTCATCACTGTAATCTTCCTCCAAAGTAGCCTCAGCTTCATGCTCCCGAGCTGTC